TGAATCGTTCCTTTAGGTTAATTCCAATTTTTTGAGTTTTTATTTCAAATATTTCTTTAATTTGAGAATTATTTAATGTTTTCTACTAATTCTAGCAATTTCTGGTGCATTCGGACCTTTATTTTCTATAATTAGGGTGATTTTCTGAACGTAAGGTGTACTGTACAAATTGTTGGCAATTTTAATAGATTTTAAAGATTTTATCAACAATTTTTATCTGTAAATGATTTTATCGGTGCTTAGTTCACAAATTTAACTAAATTAAAGAGATTTTCTAAAAATATTTTCAAAAAATGCAGTAAAGTAAAAAATCCCACACAATGTTTTAATTACATGGCCACTTCAAAGTCGATGTGTTTTCATAAAAACCGTTATTTATGGAAAAATTGCATGCAAAAATTTTCTATTTTCACACTAAATCTCTTAAGTGCAGTATATCGAAGTGTTCTGAATTAAAAAATTTTCAAAAATACTTCAAACGAATCGAGGGCCGATCAAAAAATGTTTAGCACAGTAAATGTTTTAATTCTGTGACCACCACTGTATATATATTTTCTTTATGATATCGAAGAAAATAGTAAAATCTAGTATATAAACTCATTTTTAACATATGGTAGATCTTAAATATATTTCGTTTTTTATTTCTTTTGTTAATTAATTTTCTTTTTTTTATTCTGCAAACACATTTGCGCAAAGTTACAAGTTTTTAACATAAATCGGGTGTTCCATAAATTAAAGAAATGACTCATTAATTATTTGTAAATTGCCATATAGTTACCCATCGGTTGCACTCATAGAAAATCTATTCTATTAGGTTTATTTTTAGAGAGCACTTTTGATTTTTCTGATTTAATGACCCTGTTTTATAGACCATCATAATTCCTCAATATAGTAATCTTCAGAGAATTTGAAGATATTAAAAATACGATTTCTGTTTCATTCCTACATGCATATATTCATGTCTAGTAAGTATAGTAGTTAATATTTTATGTTTCTATTTTTCCTTATGATCGTCTACTATATTGGAATCTTTTATATAATATACGAAAAATAATTATTATAAATGACATTTGTGTTATCGATATCAATATTTTGCATCCACGGCATGATATCCATTCAATTATTTAAAAGCTATCCAAGTTTGTGTTGATACATTTACTACGAAAAAATGGTTGATACTTTAACCCCATTGCCTTAAGTACACATAAAGGCAGACTATATATTTCAATGAAATGAAATTGTGATATTGTAAACAGAATGCAATGCGTCACATTGAACTGTCGTAGACACAGCAACAACAACAAAGCTGAGGAATACCAACCGTTCGTTCAATTCATGTCCATTGAAAAAATATTAAAAACCCAACAACAAACTCACTGATTTACATTCAATTAGACGGCAAGTAGTAGTCCATTCCAGTCGGCCGACAGTCAGTCAATCAGTCAGTTGAGTAAGTAGTGAATAGTGACTTGAGAATGGTAATGAATGAGTAATTTTCCAAATTTTCCATTAGTTTTCCCCTACTTCTTCCGCCTTTTAACAAAGTTTACAACCGGCAAGTGATTGCGATGATTGTTATTATTATTGTAAAATAAAGGCAAACAAAGTAATGTCATCTTGAGTATAAAGTGTATTTGCATATAACCCGATAAGTGAACACGACGTGTTACGGGACGTTCGGGATACAATAACATTCTGATAAGATAGTTAACCATAGTGGATGATGAACATTGTGGAAATAAAGGTTCCTGTATGACACACTCACAAAAGCAGCCAACTAAAGATAAAGAGGAAGAAAATGCATCATATTACTTCGAATATTTTAGAATTTCATCAGAATTAACTATTTTATAAGAGTGATCATTTTTTATAGTATTTAGTTGAAGGTCATAGGTGATGTTTTATTTTTATTTTGTATTTAAAATATTATGTAGTATTTAAAAAGGGCCAAATCATATGTAAACTGTTTCTTGACATACTGTATAAACTAGTCTGTAATACAAACTAATGTTCTTTTACTAAGAAAAATATAATCCTTTAAAAATAATCAAAATCCGATAAATAGTTACTAATCTTTTAAGTATATGAGGATCTGTTTGTTTAAGCCCCCACAATGGTACCGCCCAATTTTCGATATTCTGAGGTTCTTGAGCGCGCTTTTCAACCGAATTCGCCGAAAATTGGTACATTAGGTTCTTTTTGGGTACCAAATATCTCCACTAAAAATTATAAATATCGGTTTACTTTTCTGGTAGCCCCCATATAAAGGTACCCCCTATTTTCGGTATTTAGCAGTTCTTGAGCGCGTTATTCAACTGAATTCTCTTAAATTCGCAAAATTTGGTCCTTTTTGGGTACCAAATTTCTTTACTAAAAATTATAAATATAAGCCCATTTTTTCGGATAGCCCTCATATAAGACACCCTCAATTTTTGGGGTTCTTGTGCGCGTTTTTCAGCCGAATTCGCTGTTATTTGGTATTTTTGCTTCTTTTATGAGTTTTATCCTACAAATTATGGAATTCTCAGACGATTTAACCATTTTCGATAATCTAAATATTCGATAATCTAAATTGCAGTAGTTTGAGGATTGTATATTCTACCATGCGTTATTAGTATCAATCCACGCTTTGGGATTTTCAATAAAAATTGCTGAAAATTGTATTTTGTGTACATAATGGTTTACAAAAACCGTTGTGTAGAATTATCGGTATAGGTTCACTTTTTGGTATGTTCCCTATATTTTCATTTCAAGTATCTGTCCTATGTACCTATGGTGTAGTGTATCCAAAGTTCAGCCGGCCGAACTTAACGCTTTTTCACTTGTTTTAACTCAATTCATAAATAGCGTATTGAAACTCCATACCACCAGCCTGATGGTTGTTATGCTTCATTTGCGGTTCTGTCCTATTGTATAATGGCCATAATGCTGTGTTTACAGTTAAGAAAACAAAAAACTATGAATCCTTGCGCGATTGTCTAGGCTCATCTCCAATCTATTGAAAAGAAAAAATATAAGAAATAATTGTTTTAGCTAACTCTTCCCAAATACACAACTTTCTTACCTTTAAACATTTATGTTTTGTTTATCTTTGAAATTTGTGGTTTACATACATACAGAATTCTCAATTTCTTTATCGTCTTTATTATGGCCAGAACAGAATTTCGCTCATCAACACCTTAAGTATATAGCCAGCTAGCTAGCTACAATTGTGCAAACAACAATTTCACTTTCACGTCGTCATTCTTCGTCTAATCACTTTCAGACGGAAATAGCAACAACAACAAAAATTCCAATGCGTACGTCGTTGCATTTAAAAATAGTTTCAAATCAAATTCTATTCTGAATTTAAAGAAGTAAAAAGTTCTAAAAATAATTCAAAAAAAAAAAAAAAAAACAATTGCATGATTTGACTAAATGACTGATCTTTGTCGTACTATTGGATCTTCGCTTTGCCAGGTTTATTTCAGCACATTCTCACTCGCAGCATACATATAAACGAAGTAATTTTTAGATAACAAATAAAATAGAATTTGTTTTGTTTTTTTTTTATTAATGTATGAACGACATTTTTTATGTTCCGAATAAAATGAACTTTTATTCCGAAACTGCGAGTGTGATTCATTCATTTCGTTAATTGTGTCGAAATGCATTACCATTTTTTTGTTTTGTATCTATAGATACAATAATAAAATTGAACTATTTATATTGTGGTTGACTATCAAAACAAATCAAAGTCCTAACAATTAATCATTTTATCAAAGTTATTTGACCAGAATACATCGCATAAAATTCAACTTTTATACATATCTAAGTTTAATTTCTTGGTGAGTTTTGAGCTAAAAAAATTGTTTACCGTGGAACTTAAGGATATAAAAATCATTTTCGGAATGTGTACCCACGATATGAGCTAAGAGGTGATCGGCTGTTGTGAAGGATTACCATCTAATTTGGACACTATGTAATTTATAACTGAGAGCGTGATTGAAAATTTTCCTTTTTTACTTTGTAAGGAAAGTTCAAAATTCGGGCGGGACCGACTATATGATACCCTTCCGCACTTTGGGTACATATAAGAGATGCTCATATGTACAATATTCTGTTGATAGAACAGACGTAATATCTTTGCCACACAAAAAAAGCTATATATGTTAGCTATACCTAAATCTGAACCGATTTTAACAATACATCGCATACACTAATCTAGACTTAATCGGATAAACCTTTGCATTTTGGTGCACTATTTACATAAAATCTGACGAAATTATATATGGGAGCTATATCTAAATCTGAACCGATTTCAACAATTCTTCGCATACATCAATCTGGCCTTAATTCAGTACGATGTTCAAAATTTTGTCTCAATCGGACAAATATTGGGAGTTTGGTGCACCATTTTCATAAAATCTGACGTAAATATATATGGGTGTTATTGGTCTAAATAAGGACCTGTACCAAATTTAGTCCAAATCGGATCATAAATACGACATGTATTTTGCACACAAAAATACATGGACGGACAGTGTGGTGAAGGGTACGAAAAGTACGCTAACTCGGCGTTTACACGTGCAACAATTTTAAGCAACCCCGAGGAACGGAACAATTGTTTATATCGCAACTCATTTCCTCACTATCTAGCTCTAATATCAGTATCGGAAATAATTGTACAAAAACAATTTTATTTGTCCCGTGACAACATTAAGTTGTCAAAATAATTATTTTATATAAAAAAGTATATTTTAAAATTTTCTTCACTTCTTGGCCTTTGTTCACATTAATTTTTTGTCATTTCGTACGTTTACCCCTTTTTGCTGTGGCAACGATAAGATTTCGTTGTTTTACAAATCACAACCGAACTAAAACCGAAAAAGAATACCTTATCGGATATTAATCAATATAATGCAATCATTGGCGCATTTTTTATCCCCTTGGTATTAATTGGAACTTATTGTGAGGAAAAATATTTCCAATTGATATAACATTTTTATATTTTCTTTTCTTTTTTTATTTCTAGGAAAATAAAAATTAATCAATATGGGTCAAACACTGTCAGAACCAATCACCGCCAAGGAATCATCATATTGCCAAAATGAATTGTACAGAGTGGGTTCCAGCTGTATGCAGGGCTGGCGCATAAATATGGAAGATTCACATACACACATTCTATCGTTGCCCGATGATCCGGGTACTGCATTTTTTGCCGTCTATGATGGCCATGGCGGTGCAACAGTAGCACAATATGCTGGGAAACATTTACACAAGTTTGTTTTGAAACGACCCGAATACAAGGATAATGTTGAAAAAGCCTTAAAGCAAGTAAGTTGCATACATTTTTTATATGTTTGCTGATTGTACTCCCACCTATCCATCCAACCATCAATAGACATTCTAACAAACTGTCATGTCCTTTTGTTTCTATTGTCCTGTAGGCATTCTTAGATATTGACTATGAAATGTTATACAATGAGTCATGGGGCGAGCAGATGGCCGGTTCAACAGCCGTTGTGGTGTTAATTAAAAATAATCGATTATATTGTGCCAATGCCGGTGATTCACGTGCCGTTGCGTGCATAAATGGCAAAGTCGAAACATTATCAATGGACCATAAACCAAATAATGAAGCTGAATCGAAACGTATCAATGAAGGTGGCGGCTGGGTGGAATTTAATCGTGTCAATGGTAATCTGGCATTATCGAGAGCATTGGGTGATTTTGTATTCAAACGTAATGAAAATAAGAAACCCGAAGACCAAATTGTAACAGGTAAGATAATGTGTCATTGAGTGGTTATATATATTCAAAATTTGCATCTGTTTAGATTTTGTATTATTATTAATTTATTTATCAATATATTTTACCAATAATTTTATAAAATATGGCTAAAAGGCGCCGGATAACATGATCATTTGCGCCTATAAGTGGTCCAAGTTATTTACAGATTAGATTTCAATGAGAAAATAAATTAATAATAATTAGATTATAGGGAAGATGAATTTTATGTACACATATATATATTTTTTTATGTTTTGATGAATATAAAAATTACGTTATTAAATAATATGAGAATTTAGATGTCAAAATGCCTTGTTTATGGAGGCAGTTTCGAATTTTCGGCAACATATATCTTGTTGAGAAATCCAGAATTCTTCCTATAGGTTGTCGATCCTTGAGGATGGACATTCTTATAGAATGTGTGCCACAGAAAGAAAAACGTTGCAAAATAGGCACCTGGCTGGATCAGTATTTTCAAAATAATGTCTGGTGTTGAAAATGACACGTTTTTACTCTAAGGCGGGCCAGAAAACTGCAGTGTTCGTCGTAATATGGCCTATTCACTGAGGTATTAACTGACCTCGGAAAACATCGGAACGGTTCCGATTTTGTATTATATCAATTGTTAATATAATATTGTCAGCTGGTACAAAACCAACTCGTTGCTTAAGCTTTGGAAAACGTGGAAAACAACGCATATAAATATGTTTTAATTTTTATTTCTTTTATTAAGGAAGTACCATATGTATATATGGATTTTTTTTAAACATTAATAATATATTACCTTCTACAAATTATACGTTTTTAATCGTTCTTGTTGCTTATATGTATATGCATGAGTATATAAAGAAAACACATAAATATACATAGAAACAAACAAAAACATATCGAGAAATATAGAAATAACTTAATAAAGAAGCGTTGTTATTGTTGAAAATATAAAATAAGTACTTTCAAGTATATCGTCGAAGGAGTAATACTAATGTTAATCTCTAATTTATTTAGTATTATTGGGGGAGAAATGAGAGAGAGAGGGAGAGAGAGTAGCAGGTGAAGGAAGGGAGACAGGGTCAAGTTCTACGGTATTCTCTTTACCATTTACTACCTATTTTTTATCCGTCAGTCTGGATCAAATTTTGAGGAAATCAATCTTGAGGTATTTTCACCAATAATTGATCATAAAATTATAGATATTTTCCACATATACATTTTTATAAATGTTCAAATATACATTTTTATAAATGTAACCATTCAAAATTCGCGCAGCTTTTCGTTTTAAATTAGTCTATACGGATCTAATCTGGAATAATTAACTCAAAAATTATATATATACATTAAAAGAATATATATTTGAATGCTGTTCTATCTGAAAAAATCATAGTAATTTCGAATGGGTTAACACAAATGAGCGATTCAATTTCGAAAGCTTTATTGAAGAAGGCCGAAATATTTTTGCAGTATGTGAGGAAATATCGATTAATATTGACATTTTTTATATCAAATCGATTGTTCGAGTGGTAGAGTATATATTAAATTAAAAATTTATCAGTCACAGCCGAATGAACAAAGATACACGCCTATGTTGACCAGTAAAAGTTTCTAGAACACGTCTCAAAATGTTACAAGTCTTACCGATTGGCATGCAATATCTAATAGATTTCAGAATGGTATGTGGATGGGTTGATTTAAATTGGTTCAAATGTCTATGTAGATCACACATTTAATTTCGTCCGATTCCATTCTTTTCTATCGACAGGATATTATATATATGAGCATCTCTTGTATGTACCCAAAATCGTGAACAAGCCTTTCCTTGATTGTACAGGTGAAAGAGGAACAACAATAAAAAACATAATATATTATGTGTGTGAAAGATTTTTAGTTGTTTTAAATTAATTATTTTTTTCAAGGCCTAAAAGAGGCGTGGATTTTTAAAGAATTATTTTTTCCAAGGCCTAAAAGAGGCGTGGATTTTTATAGAATTATTTTTTCCAAGGCCTAAAAGAGGCGTGGATTTTTAAAGAATTATTTTTCCAAGGCCTAAAAGAGTCGTGGATTTTTATAGAATTATTTTTTCCAAGGCCCAAAAGAGGCGTGGATTTTTATAGAATTATTTTTTCCAAGGCCTAAAAGAGGCGTGGATTTTTAAAGAATTATTTTTTCCAAGGCCTAAAAGAGGCGTGGATTTTTAAAGAATTATTTTTTCCAAGGCCTAAAAGAGGCGTGGATTTTTAAAGAATTATTTTTTCCAAGGCCTAAAAGAGGCGTGGATTTTTAAAGAATTATTTTTTCCAAGGCCTAAAAGAGGCGTGGATTTTTAAAGAATTATTTTTTCCAAGGCCTAAAAGAGGCGTGGATTTTTAAAGAATTATTTTTTCCAAGGCCTCAATGAGGCGTGGATTTTTAAAGAATTATTTTTTCCAAGGCCTAAAAGAGGCGTGGATTTTTAAAGAATTATTTTTTCCAAGGCCTAAAAGAGGCGTGGATTTTTAAAGAATTATTTTTTCCAAGGCCTAAAAGAGGCGTGGATTTTTAAAGAATTATTTTTTCCAAGGCCTAAAAGAGGCGTGGATTTTTAAAGAATTATTTTTTCCAAGGCCTAAAAGAGGCGTGGATTTTTAAAGAATTATTTTTTCCAAGGCCTAAAAGAGGCGTGGATTTTTAAAGAATTATTTTTTCCAAGGCCTAAAATAGTTTTTGTAAATGCTTTTAATTAGGACGACACGAAATCCGTCACAAAATATTTAAGTTTTAAAATTTAGTATCAAATTTGGAAGGAAAAGGCTCTGACATTTTCGGGATTCAAATAAAAAATACGCGAATATTTATAATATAATCTGCTCATCGTAAATGTGTAATAAGTTATGAATACCCGATTACATACACCATTTTTTATTATGTGAAATTCTCATCCCAAATTTTACTGTTACATTATACATACATACTATATAATTTTATCTTAATTTTATATTTTCATTTCTCTTTTTCAGCCTATCCCGACGTTGAGACCCGCACAATTGATGATGATTGGGAATTTCTTGTGCTTGCTTGTGACGGTATTTGGGATGTTATGAGCAATGAAGAAGTTGTCGATTTTTGTCGAGCACGAATCGGACAAGGCATGTATCCGGAAGAAATTTGCGAAGAATTAATGAATCACTGTTTGGCACCCGATTGTCAAATGGGCGGATTGGGTGGTGATAACATGACCGTCGTTTTGGTGTGTTTTCTTCACAATAAACCATATGCGGAACTAGTAGCGAAATGTGGTTCGGCTTCAACAAATGTGTTTACGGCAAACAGCACTATGAACAATGTCATTACATCGGATACAACAACCACAACGACGACGACGACGGCAACGGCAATCAAAACATCGCAACCACATTCAACACCATCATCGCCGGAAGATGAAGAGGAAGATTTAGATCTAAAATAACAGCATAGTTTTATAACGTATAACATATGTCAGTTAGTCGTCTCCTCCTTGTACTCCAGATTGTTTGTGGAGTTATGCCTTTAAAATCTGATATCTTTGTCGGTTTTATTATGTTTTATTCTTTATTAAATTTTTTCAACAACAAAGACCTTCGATTTATTTTTATATTTTAAATCCCCACTATTATTTGTTCATATGCAAGCAACAAAAGCAGGCTTTTTGTGTATGTCTATCAATGAAAAATGCTTGCTCCCAAAAAAATACAAATTTACTGCATCCACCCAGAGGATATCTTAAAAAAAAAGTTTCCAGTTCCCATTAGCATTGTTCTGGTTCTAGAAACTACAGAGAAGAACCTAAATTGTTACTTAAATAAGTTTTCTGTGTTCTATATATGTATACCTACACCTAAACCTATTTTGTTTTTATATTTACTAGTATACCTACATATATTTCATTTATAAAATTCCTATTCCTATCTGTGAACAATTAGTATTTTACACAAAAAATATCCTTTTTCGTAAATTGTAATCATTGCGCTTTTTTCATTTTATTTGTCTAAAAAATAATAATAAAGGTTTTTGGTAGAAATTTGGAACATTGTATAGAAAATTAATAAAATTAATTTTGTTAATAACTGTATTATGTATGTATATTTAAGTTTCTCATGCAAATGTTAAATTGTTATTTAAATTACAAAAGAAGATAATTACCAAAAAAAAAATAGAAATGATTTTTTATATCTTATCTCCCATTCTATTTTTATTTCATTTTAATGGGGAAAATATCTTAGATATATGTGACCTAGCCTTGGAATACTTGGGAATTCATATATGAACACCAAATTCCTTTAATGTTAAAAAAAAAACACCTAATTCCATAAGTTAAATGTATAACGGTATAAACGTGATTTATTTTAGTTGTCGGTCCAAATCAAATACCATAGCTGACAGATTCTATAATATTTAAGCGTGTTTGTAACGTGATGTACTAAATTGAAAACGTTCAATTTCGTATGTATTATCAATAAAAAAAAAACTAAATTTTTGAACTATTATAAAAGTTGATATTCCTTTTTGACTTAACAGTATTGAAGGGATAACTAGTGAGGTGAAACCATCCAGTTAATCGCTAATGATCGGCTTACTTCTCAACCAGCATAACAGATCGATATAAAAAACAAGTTCGTTATACATAAATGTTCAGTACATAGCACACAAAATAATTCTAGTTTAATGTGTATGTAGTAGTTAGGGAACGTGAATATATATGGCGATAGTGAAGAATAGTTTTGCATGATATATAATTTTTTTTTAATTTCTTTGGTTCCAAATAAAATCACCTATTAGAAACTAACATCGTCAGAATCCGTGTGATTGACTGTAAGAAAAATGTCACAGTGTGACGTGAAAAACTAGTATGCAAAATCATCAGGCTGGCAATTTCCAAATGTAGTGGAAATTGATAAAATTTCACTCAATTTGACCTAAAATTTATCCTTAACGGAAAAACTCAAACAAATAACAATTACTTCAGCTGAGCATGACTATGATTCGAAACTAGGTTCCCAGAGCAAGACAAATGTTGTCAGGCCACATAGCGTTGTGAAACATCAAGACACCTCCGAACTTTGCAAAAAAAAAAAACATATGTATTCCATAGGAACAATTATACGTGGATCCTTTGAAAAGGACTGTTTCTTGAGCGAAGAAAAATATCGGGCATTCATAAATTTGAATTTAATTCGCAGATGCAACTTCGTATTAACTGCCATATAAATACAATACATCAACATAAGATTTTGTAAAGCTCCATAACCCAATATGCCTGATGAGCCGCTTAAGCAACGTCGAAAATGTATAATTAAGATTCATCCCCTGGCTTTCCTTTTCATTGTAAAACTTCGATCATTAAGCTCGAGTCGGAAAAACTGACTTTGCACAAAATATTTTGTATCAAACGTACAGTGACGAGCAGAAATGAGTACATGTTTGTACATTGGACAATTTTTACGTCATCAAAATAAAAATATAAAAGCAAATTCAAAAATGTTGGTTGTATTTTATAACGTATTTCGTACCTAACAAATCAACCTAAAGTTAAAGAATTTAACTCTTTATTTTCTAAGAAAAAACTGAGAAAAGTAAATCAACTTCAATGTATTCACTTTTGCACTTTTGAACAAATTTGCAGAATTCAAATATTTTTATTAATTTTAACGTAGTTTTATATTTTTAATGTATCATTTATGAAATTTGGCATATTTTAAACCAATTTTAGTACAATTTCATTGGAATTATTCTTCCAATCACCTCAGATCCACTGCCAAAGTTCGTCTATTGTCAATTTTTTAACATCGGTCCAGGACCCACAAGTTAAAGCCTACGCATACCGTGGCAATTCCTCAATCGTGCTTTACATTGGGCCTTTGAATTAGTTTTCATCACCAATAATGCTTATCGTCGGATTGAAAACGGTTGAATTTGGATTCGTTGGACCCGATCACACGTTTCCAGTCGAGTCAATGACTATCATGTTTGACGAGTACTTACGAAGCATATTTTGGTGTTAAAACATATCAAATTACATTTTCCTTATCATTAGACGTGGGTCCACACAACTTATAAGCGGTGTACGACCTCTAATTTGAGGTTTGGAAACAGCGGAACACCGTTTTTGTACCCATATGAATTGACACAATTTAAGTCCCTTTGCATTTTCCAGGGTAGAACAGATTTTTTTCGGATTGGCATCTTCAGTGGTTATTATATATATTTCTTCTTGATTTATTATTAGTTATTTATTTGATTTTTGTTCAAAAATGTGTACAATTTTTTAGTAAAGGGAATTTAAATGATGTAAAACTTATATACTTTCTTAAAAAAAACTAATGAAAACAAAAAAAAAAGATTTAAAAACGTGATTTTACATTCCTTTTCTATAAATTATTAAAAAATGAAGACAAGAAAAGTGAGTACATTGGGGTTGATATCGATTTCTTTATTTTTTTCTTGGTTAATATTAAGACTTAGATTTTTAAATATAGGTTGTTTTGTTAAGTACAAAATATCCAATAAAATGCAACCAAGATTGTTGAATTAGCTTTTTTAGTTTCATTTTTACGACGTAAAAAGTGTCCAAAATGCAAACATTGAAATGTTGAATATATGTTTATTAAAATCAAATAAGCTAAAGCTAAAATTGAGCGAACTTTGACCCAGTCTTCTATCATTACATACTAAATAAGGTAGGCGAATTTTTACAACAAAGAACTGTTTTAGTACAATATGTCGGGAACAAGTTGAGTTTAGGGGCTCATCTCGGGAAATATAGATTACCCCCATGAATGTCATATATTTTCGTGATCAGGGGGACGAAATCACCTGTGGTAAAAATTTCAGAAAAATCGGAGATGAGCCCCTTAACTCAACTTAAGCCGAATGTTTTAGATGGGCCGGAAATTCCATAGTTTGAAAATTCTTTAGAAAATAAGCAGCTTTCTTCAATGTTAATCTGCCAAGTTATGTACCTATATCAAAATGATGATATCTATTTTCAATAGAAAATTCAAAATAATTGAATTCTATATGTTCTTTCAGTCTGGAGCTATTAGGTTCTATTGGATGTTCTGGAGCTATTAGGTTCTATTGGATGTTATATTCACATTAAAGCTCCGAGGATACATTCGACAATTTTAAAGTAATGTACCCATCGGTATGTTTATATCTTCTTTTAACGTTACAGATGACAATCACAGAAGCAGTTTTCCATAGGCCCCACTTAATTTAGTCTTTGATTACCCTCACACTTCACACTTTTTTTAATTAATAACACTGTAATTTAATTTTTTTTTTCTTAAAAAACTGTTTAATATTTTTTAGTCACTCTGCATAATTATAAACAATGCAACGGCAAATATTAATCTATTCTGATGGAACTTCAAAAGCACCACTGTTAATGTCATCAATGATGTCGTGTGGTGGGCGACCGTCAACGGTGCAACCAACACTTTGGGCTGTACCCAAAATTTCTTTGCATGTTCCATCTAATCCGCGGGCCATTGATCTGGGTCTCATGGTGCGTGCAATGGAAAGGATGTCATCGAAGGTAATGTTACCAGAGTGCTTAACTGAAAACGAAATAATAAAAACAAATTTGTTTACACATCCCATCATATAGTACCACACATGCAAGCACGCTGCAGCATAAACATTTACTTACTGTTCTTTTGCTTCTTCCTGTCACGAGGAGGCTCTTTCAAAGCCTTGATGATCAAAGAGGCAGCAGAAGGTACCACAGAGATGGTGGCCTGTCTGTTTTGGATGGTTAAGCATACTGTGATTTTCAAGCCCTTCCAGTCAGAGGTAGCCTTGGCGATGTCATCACCAACTTTCTTTGGTGACTAAAATAGACAAACAAAAGCTTCAAATTAGCATACAGCCATTTCACAGGTGACTCTTTAGTAAACACTTACCAAACCCAAGGGACCGATTTTAGGGGCCAAGGAAGATGTGGCGCCGACTTCACCGCCAACGCAGCGCAAGTAAACTGTAATGGACTTTAGGTTAGTTTCATTGCTGTATAAAATACGAAATTCCACGGTTATTTACCTAACTTAACTTCAGTAGGATCAAACTTTGGCGGCATGGTGATTAACCTGGAATTACAACAACTTAAAATTAAATAAAATTAAAAAAAAATCGCAACATGTGCACAAATACCACACACCTCCTGAAAACCCGAAAACAAAAAGACTTGATTCCACGTCAAGCACGGCCATTTCCGTTTCAAGCATCAATCGTTCCCAATCACTTCGGCTTGTCAAGCATATGCTTTATTCTATTTTTTTAAATGACAGGCGCATCGTATGACAACAAATACGTTGCTAAAACATTGCATATGCTAAAAGTACATTTACATATACGAATTTCAATCCACTCAATTAAAGAGATCGTACGTGTAGATTTACAAAATCCACTCGATTTTAAATGCCAATTAAATAGCGTATACATCAAAAATAAATCCACTTGTAAACATTATGAAATCGAGTCGATTAAGTAGTCTAAATGTGCTCTTATAGCGCATTTACATACGCACTTTATTTGATGTGGATTTACGAAATCCTGAAAATAATTAAGGGTTATTTACACTGGCTTTGAGATCATTCCAAATGACTGTCAACTGGTATTTGTTTACGTATACACAATCACACTTGTTTACAAAAAGGAAAAAAAGTTGTAACTACGAATATTAAAATATTTTATTAAATATTTTATAAAATGTTTAACTGTTTTTATTCCCCCAAATACTTATTTTCTGTTTTCTCTTAAATTAAAATCGATATTTAGAATAAATTACGCCGTCATTTATTTTTGTATGGTAAATGACGCAAAATTGTGCTGGTTTTAGGAAATAAATGACGCAACAGCCATAAATCCCGATATTTCTGTTGTATGTAAATGCGCCTTATTGCCAAAATAAACAAAAACACTGCAACAAGTCCTTCTGTTCATTTAAGGTCATAGCAACTCATAAATTAAATTGTTTTATATTATGCCTTGTTATGCCGTATACAAAATGTGTGCTTGTGTAAAACAATAAAGATAGAAGCAGATTTACATATAACAATACATACACAAAATATGTATTTTGATTTGATGGAACAACCCACCTTGAGAAAAAAAAATTGTAATTAGTTGGTAGCTGTGTCCTTCCTTTTAATAATTATACCATGGTATGTCATAGGGGAAGTCAATTGTCCCCTGCTTGCGTTACCAGTATACAGTCATTTCGGTAGTATAAAATGACAGTACATTTGACTAGTGTCTTATACTGACTACTTGGGTAGATACAAAGTATAAACCAAAAGACTAGTTACGTATATATATATTACAAATTAGATTGTATAACAGTTTGGAAAATTTCAAATATATATTTTTTTAAATTAATTCTGATATTTATTATAATAGAGTATTGTATACAATTATACTGTTTGACCCGTCAGTGAATCCCCAATTCGCGTCCCTTTTGTCGCCCTAGTGCTTTTCAAATATCCCAGTTGATATAGAAGTCTCTCTTGAGCATTTATTAATGTGTTTTTAGTATCCTTACTAAATGTTCTCTCTAGATGAAAGGGCTAAATCTTTAGAAAACCTAGAATGAAGCCTGAAGAAGAATTACATTTGTCTGGGTTGTGTTACAAAATCTAAATTTACCTCAGATGTATATGTATTTCGTTCGAATATAGAAATTCATGTTCCACATCACTTAATATGGTATATCACGAATATATTTTTAAAGACTTTTTTTAAATTCCGAAAATTATTAAAAAATTTGAACAAAATGTCAAAACAATTGTTCTGTTTTGTTTTTCCTTCGAGAATTTATATATATATATATAAGTCGATTCATTACCCTTTGCATAGCCAGTAACTACTGAATTGGGATGATATACCTACAACTTTTTCAATCGACAAATAAATCCAACAGTCTAGTTTATGTTCCATTTTTTTATATAAAGTAACTAGAAAGAAGTTTACATTTATGGAAAAACTATTTTTTCAATTCAAAATACGCATTGTCAATGTTGAAAATTTTAAACTTTATATTTTTATACGCAATGCGTATTTGGGTAATATTTATTGAAATATTTGTATTTAATTTTTGAGGTGAATAAAATTGTACGTATACGCATGGTATAATTATTACAAGGTAGGGCACATCTACCAACTGATTACAATTTTTTCTCAAGGTGGCTTGTTCCATCAAATCAAAATATATATATGTATATTGTGTATGTGTGCGTATTGTTTGAATACAATGTCAAATAAATTCAAAATAAATTGAAATGTATTCAAGTTTAATTGAAATGAAAATAATGTTTTTAACACGTTCGTCTGGAAGTAATTACTTTGTTATGGATGAAACAAACATTTTATGCTATTCCCTACCTGATTTTGGGAAGAAATCATAACCTTTCATTAATTTCTCGCGTTTTTAGTTTTGTGTTGAAAAAATGTCAAATAAACACAAACACTTGTTGCGTATAATTATTTTATTTTTGGCAGAAGAGGCCACACGTGCATAGTTGCTTTTTTGTTATTCACCTCAAGCTGCTCTACCTTGTGTTATTGTACCATGCGTATACGCATGAATTTAGGTACGACCCTTAAATGTGAAAAAACTATTGCCATTAAATGGAAAAAGAAATATTTTCAAAACCGTATTGCCTTGTATAGACGCATGAAGCAAGTTCAAAAGGGAACGATAATAATTGCCGCAAGTAAACTCGCCTAATATAAATCGGGACTAATAGAGTTCCGTTTAGTTTTGTCACCGTTCGTCTTTATTAATTTACATTTTCAAAGCCAGCATTAACTGCTGCCAATGAAGCATACCCTTTTAGAATTAAATATTTCATAATAATGAATATAAAGGGAATAAGAAAATGAAATGCGATAAAGTACTCCTCCGTAAGTACAGCGCTTTGGCTAGCGACCAAAGCGCTGTACTTACGCTTTGTTTAGGCGATCTACCGCCGTTACTTTTCTAATGGCGTAACGCAGTCAGCCATTAGAGTCTGGCTACGTGCCAGTTAATCAATTCGAGAGCATTTCTATAAAAGTTCACACACTTTATTAAGCGCTTGAAATATTGAAAAGAAAATTCAAGTTAATTGAACAATCTTGTAACAACTAAATCGTAACACGTCGTGAGCTACTAAACTATTCTACAAAGAGAAATCAAAGAAAACGAAATAACAGTTTTCACAACAAAAAGAAACGCATCTTTAAGAGAAACACACATTTTTATTTTTTGGCTGTTGGTATTTTTTTAATATCGTATGTCCATCCAGAATTTAAATACATTTGGTAAGTTTATTTTTGGTTACAATAAAGAAATTTAAGAGAATTTGAAGTATAGAAGTTTTTTTTTCGGTGAAAATATTTTTACAGTTAATTTTGTCAAGTGAAAACTATTTAAAATCAATCATGATGTGAGTTCGTGCAGTTTTATGGTTTTTTCGTGTGTAGTGGTGTGCAATGTATAAAATGGCTGCCCCTTTTTTTTTTTTGTCAAAGAACGTATAATAGAAGGTAGAAAGAAATTTCTAATGAAGAAAAACTAAAGATTAATTATTTCGTGAAGAAAAAAACCTGTTTATTTTTCTTGTATTAATACATACACACGCACTATGTAGGTTGAAATAAATATTTCTCTATTGATGAGTCAGCACATGGATTTCTCTATAGGAATATTTTTTTAAATATCGCGTGTAAATGTATGGGTTTTTCTGATATTTCAACACTTTCGAGAGTTTTCGTTTTTGTCATTCACTGAACATTTTTATATACACAAATACCCTGCATCGCAGATAATACATATTCATGTGCATGATGTGACAAGAATGACAATAAATGGAAATAAAAAGAAACTCGAAATTTTAAAGTCTACGTCAGATCAGTGTGCATTCATTGTTCTCTCCCCTGCTACAATTTGTGTAAAAAATATGTGTGTATGTGTATTGGTGTGAGTGGATGCGTGGTGCTTTCCATGTGTCGATTTTAAATGCATATATACTTATATATGCCATGTATAGTAGATGATTTCGTCGTGTGTTCTTTGTTTATGCCACCCCTTCTTTTTTGTTCCTCTATTTACTGTATCCAGAAAGATTTTACGAAGTTTTTGTTGTTGTTGTCTATATCAATATTAACCACGTTTGTATATAGTATTTTGTTTTTGTATGGGCTATCGAAGATAACAAATGTTTTGAGGTTAGAAGCAAGTTTTTATTTATTTTTTTTTTGTATATTTGTATTGTATTTGTCTATATGCTGTTGTATATAATGGTTTAACATAAATATGACTGGTTTATGCCATTGTAATGTGCAATTTACTACATCCGAAAAACAACATATTTTATTGATATACTTTATTAAAAATGTTCTTAGGGGTTTTCGAGACAATATCACATGATCTTTAACCATTAATACCCTTTCTTTAATTTATTTATACTCTTGAGTTTTTAGTGTGCCTAAAAATTTTGGCGAGCAAGCTTTTTAAATTCAAACCCATTAAAAATTGAATTACAAACAATTACCCTCGATTAGTCTTTATTAATTTTAAAACAATTATCTCTTTTATTTATATAGACCCCTTTGCTGATGCAATCAAGGGTGCTGATGATGATGTTCAAGACGGTCTTGTTCACATAAGAATTCAGCAGCGTAATGGTCGCAAAACACTAACCACAGTCCAAGGTTTATCTGCAGAATATGACCTGAAAAAAATTGTGCGATCATGTAAAAAGGTAAGCAAAATTATAATAAAACATTTTTAAGTGAAAAATTTAATTTTCCTTTTAAATATGTCATATACTAATTACTTATTATATATTTATTTTAGGAATTTGCATGTAACGGCACTGTAATTGAACATCCCGAATACGGAGAAGTTTTACAACTCCAGGGTGATCAACGTGAAAACATTTGCCAGTGGTTGACAAAGGTTGGTCTAGCCAAATCTGATCAATTGAAAGTGCATGGTTTCTAAACCTTTCACTCCTCATCAAAAACAAGAAACCTCCACTAAAAGCCAGAACAACAACAACAACCATATAATAATAGTAACCAGTACAACCGAGAGACCATCTACAATATTGACGAGGTTTTTATGTGCTGATGTGCTGTAGTTTCAATTTCTTGGCATATAGATATATGAACTAGTACCACAACACACAAGAAAAAGCCGACCAACTATCAAAAACGGTGTTACTACTCTTCACTTTTTATGGAGATTTTATTCATCACCCATCACCCTTCCGACTACCATCAACAATAACATCATTTACAATAGAAGAAAGGAACAGCAATAGCTTTTAATAAACAAATTTCATTGCAGAAAAATAATTAATTCCAATATTAAATTGTAACGAGAACATCTAATATAGAAAATTTCTTTCAGATTGTTTCTCGTTTAGGTAATTGTTTTTAATTGAATGTCAACATACAAAAACTGCTAGTTTATACATAATATATTTCTTCAATATAAAAATAAGCATATATTTTGTTTAAATTGAAAACGAAAATTGTTCAAGTATATGCAATATGCTACTAAAAACATTTATAATAATAAAACATAAAATTCTTTTTATTTAATGTATAATTGAATCACGATTTTCTTTTGTTTTTATTCTAAAATGGATAAGACGTTAAATCTGAAAACGTCAAAGTAAATACGTTTCAATGTTGATATATACACAATCTACATAAAATATTACATATATCCACCAGTATATGCACCTACTACTATGGAAATGATGTCGTCTAAGTCGTCTGTAATGTGTAATTTCTCCCCTAGTTATTGCACTTCGCGATTAGTATATATACAACAGATTTTTTGGAAGCAGAGAAGAAGAAAATGACGGTTATAGTTTTTCGATAGACAATATCATATTGAAATTGTTTATTCCCCATAGCTTTTTAGTTCAATTTATTAATTTGTATTCCCACATGAACTAATATATTTCTTGTTTTCCTGAAGTAATTTTTTGTTTCATCAATTTGTGTTACAAAATTTATCGTACTAATTACAAATGTAATACTGAAATGAAAATAAAACTTGTAAACACAATTGTATTAAAACAACAAACATTATTAAAAATGATTTAAAAATAAAATGTTTCAAATAAAATTTGCATAATGGTGTTGTTATTGTAGATTTATTCCTGGAGGGTTACTCTGTATTGCGTTGCGAAAGCAAGTGCGATGCGATAGCTAAATGCGTTAAGATTTAATTTGGTACTCTGTATCGCTCACGCAAACGCATTCGCAAACTAAAACGTAAATTGGGCAACACTGTCACCACAAAGTAAACAATAACGAAGAATGACAAAAGGAAACGTCAAAAATTGTAAATAAAAACATATTTTTGTGTGGTACGAGTGTTTTTTAAAAACAAAAATGATGAACGAATTAAAAAAAAAAAGAATTGTAAGACAAATATACTCTCCCCAAGTGACCACGGGTATGAAAATAGAAGTACGAATTATGTGACAAACGTTTTCAAATATTTAATTTTTATAGATTTATATACACAATTTTCGTCTCAATAAAGATGCGTTTATGTATTTATTAAACGCTCGTCGTTCCAAATGCATCCACAGCAATTCCAACTCCAATAAAAGTGGCCGCTGCTTTGAAGTTGCTTGGACAAGGTGGTTATCAATTTTATATAAAAATATAATACATTACTTTTATCCAACCAGCGACATCTCTTACAGGAGGCCCATTTGAATTGTCCACAAATTGTTTGCGCGTTATTTAGCATTTGAACTCTGCAACTGTCCCTTTGCCAAATCGATGTTATGCTCCATAAAATCAACTAACGCTGCTCAGTCTGCAAATATTTTTTGTATTATCCCTAAAATAATTAATTTAGATATAAAAAACCTTTAATTGTGCTTACTTACATGTTTCGCATCCTTTGCGTTTGCTATTTTGTGAACGTAATATATTTGCGTTTAACGAACGAGTTTGACATGCGTTTTCGTATTACAGAGTTCGGTGATGCCACATTTGCGTAAAGTAGATGCGAAAGGAGATACGAAAACGAATTAGAGAGTACCAATTATGCGATGCGATACAATTTTTTTTACGCATCGCAATACAGAGTAACCCCCCTGCATTTTTTTTAATATAATCGGAAATATATTATGGTTACAGATTTGTTCCTACTTTATTTAAAACGTAAAATTTTTCAAATTTATAAAGGGAAAATCGAAAATAATTTAAAGTTATTTTGAAAAGCTCTTCGCAGTGAATTTTTTTAAAGTTCGAAAGCGGAAAATCCTCAATGGGAAAAAATTGATTATTCCGAATGAAACGGAGGAGGGAATTTGGTGACAATTTGTGCGAAATTAAACAGAAAATAAAAAATGAAATCTTTGAATTTTGAAGAGCTCATTCGGAAATAATTTTATTAAAATTATCGGGTATGATCTGGAACTCACGGCGTGTTCGTTTCACTTCACACATACTCTTCACCTCAAAGTTACCTCCAGCATCTCACACGAATTGAAAATTTCAACTGCGACAAAAATAAACGTCGACAAGGTACTTTGCAGAAATAGTGTTGCCATACAATATAAACTGTATTCGTTTTTAACATTGTTTCTGTATTTTTTTAGTAATTCGTTAATTCTAACCATAACTTTATTTTTATTTTTTAATATTTTATTATTCGGAAGATAAAATGTATGTATGAAAAACTCTGTAATATCATTAATTTGTTGATTGATTTAAGGGGAACATTTGGTAACCCAATCTTCTTCGGCCTTACTTCAAATCAGCTGTTTGTGTCAAGCAAAAAATTCAGTTGAGGAAAATTCAAGACAAACCTTAGTATCTATTTAAAATTTGTTTTTAATGTCGTTTCATGTATATTTTGTGATTTTAAACAAAGTATACGTAATAATAACATATTATTCTATCATCATGTTGCTTTTTTATTTCAAAAAAGATTTTCTTTTATATAGAAAAACTCACTATGAAAATGTAAGTGTAAAAAATACACCTCAAATGGGTGTTGTAAAATGTGTTACAGAACACCTCGTATGATTTTTACACAAATTCATTTCAATAATATACGGGCATGTTCTGGCATTCACTTCATCTATAACAAAGTAATTACTTCCAGACGAACATGTTAAAAAAATAATTTTCATTTCAATTAAATTTGAATATATTTCAATTTATTTTGAATTTATTTGACATAGTATTCGAAACAGTACACACATATTGACATTGATTTAATGGAACAAGCTACCTGAAGAAAAAACTGTAATCAGTTGGTAGCTGTGCCCTACCTTGTAATAATTATACCATGGTTGAAATGTTTATGTCTTGATTTATATTACATTTACATGGCAAGTCTTTGAAATTGTAGGAGAGAGGGGCAAGGGCAAAATGAATGAAAAAAAAATTGCTCACGGCCTTAACATTTTTTGGCAATTCGAGCGTGTGTGTTTCGATAATAATTTTTTAAAAATACATTTTATATATATTTTTCAAAATAGTTTTAATGTGAAAAAACAACAAATAGAAAAATATTTTGGAAACCGATATTTCCAAAACAAAACACATAAATTAAAACGAAAGAGCATAACTCAAAAATTGAATTTATAAATATAATTTTATAAATATAAATATATATGTTTATAATGTTTAGCCTCTGTGGGTTTATGTGTACTTTGTGTTGGCTTAGTTAACCTACATTACAATTGTTGCATCAATTAATTAACGAAATAATAACAAATGAAAATTTACTGAATTTTTTTTTGCAGTTACCAACAAATATCGATAAATTTTTCATCTCAAAATAAAAATGTATGTTAAAATGTTTATAGGTGTTGGTAGGGCTTAGCGACTACTTTATTTAAGTCGTTAACTTACCGAATGTTTTCGTTAATTAACGAAATTATAAACAAATGAAAGTTTACTGTTATCGTTTATCGTCGGTAAAACAATTAAGACATATAATTTTTAAGACATAATTTTTTCTATTTTTTCCGATATCATAAAGGAAAAATTGTTATCGTAGTAAATAAAATTTGTACATTATTGCAGGTTCTGGAACAGACCAATAAACAGAATTAATCCGTTGAGTCATCGTTCGTTAACATGCTAACAACGATCGTAAAACGGCATTTACATTAGAACTTTTCACTGGGTTAACCTACTTTATTAGGATTTATTTGGCATGTATACAATTTAAACCCACTGGGTTAACGAAATCCAGTACAATGTAAACGTACTATAACGGGATCATTGTCCCCTTAGCGTGGTTTTATATTTGCCGGGATCGGGATCGGTGTTGAGAGTTTCTCTCTCTCTCAGTGGTAAATTGTGAATTGTGTTGGAAAACATTACCACAGGTAGAAACAAAAAAGTACGAAAATGTACCTTAAATTCTACTTCAAATGATAATAAATTATAATTATCGAGAAATATTGGCCAATATTTATACCAGTTATTTGCATAAATAACATATGTTATAATTTAAGCGTAAATGTATTCAAGAATAATAAAAAATCGAATTTTTGTTTTGGTACGTTTATGTCAATTCGTACCTTTTGTTAACAAAAAGTACGCTTGTTACAAAATTAAAAATAGCGCAACTCTAATTACTCTCTCTCGAGAGAGAAACTCTCAACACCGATCCTGATCCCGACAAATATAAAACCACGCTTAACAGAATCGCTTATTTTATCGTTAAACCTTAAAGGCGAGTACACAATATCATTTTGGACTGCCAGCCTTTTATCGATCAATAACTGTCCAATAACCATGAATATTTTTGTGGTTACTTGCTAAATGACGATCATGAGAAGCCGCACTATCAAACTAGTAAAAGTTTGGCAAGAATATCATTGAAAAAGGATAGTGTGTACAGTGCTTAAACTACATATACATTAGAACTTTTTACCGGGTTAGCCTACTTTATGAGGATTTATTTCATAAATATGCAAAGGAATTGACAATTGAAACCCACTGGGTTAACGAAATCCGGTTAAATGTAAACGTACTATTATAATTGGGCCATGCTTGGTACCAAACATTATTGACATTTGGTTTTTTTTGCTGCATTCGATTTATCATGTCGATTTATCGATTAGTCCAAAGTCGACGTTCATATCCCTAATTGCATTGAGGCGAAAGTTAAACGGTGACACGACGAATCGACTTACTCAATGGTCTTTATAGTTAAAGGAAAAATAATTTTTCGGAATATTTACTGCGAAGAAATACTAAAATTTTATGTACTGATAAAAATGGATAAGAATTTTCACAATACAAATTGAAGAATACACAATTTGAGAGCATTATTTAAACTTTTCACGCTAATCGAAAAGCAAACGGCAGTGTGACTTGTGAGGAATGAAAAAATATTTGTGAAAAAAAGGTGGTGGTGAATTTGCAAATTAGAAAAAAAAGTTATTCACAAGCCCAACAACAAGAACAAATTGTGGAAATAGGGAAACACAAAACCCCGATACAGATACATATGTGTGAGCGGTGTGTCGTGAATGAAAAAAGTAAAGTGAAAACGATTAAAAATAAAATACACCAAATTAAATAACTTATTCGAGTAAATCACCTCAATTAAATGTGAAAAAACCATTGGTAAAATTACAACAGTCATTGGGGAAGCACACGCAAGAAAGAACGAAAAGACAAAAGAGTGATAGATAAAAGTAAAAAGCAAAGAGTGTATTCGGATTTGACATTTACGAAAATCAGAAGAAGAAGAAGCAAACAAAGCAAATGAGAAAAGAATACAGTGCACAATATTGAATGAATAAAAATGTATAAGGCCAACAGAAAAATGGAAATCAAATAAAGAAAGAAATACTTTCGACCGATATAGTTGCAGAAAATTAACTTCGTGTTGCGTTTGGAGCATTATTCCAAAATCGTGAACAATTAACAATCAAAATGCTTTCTTTTCACTGTTGAGTAATTAGTTTTCTCAAAAGCAGCAGAAACAACAACAAACTATAGAAAGAAGAAAGGACCTAGCAAAAGGCCAAGTTTTTTTCTTTGAGGGTACGTACGTACGTCGATCGTACGTACACCCGTGTCGGTCGTCGTTCGCCAAACAAAATTAAACGAAACATCAGCTAACAAAACAACAACCTAACTAACCAGCCAGCAGCAGAGCAGAAGTAGCATTGCAGTCGCCAGCTAGCCGGACGGACAGTCACAGGCACTGACATTTTCTTAACGATTTTTGCTATTTTGCCACACAACACAAGTCAGCTAATCATCAGCCGTGGTGTGGTGGAGAAAAAGGTGCAGGGTGCAACACAGCAAAAGAAATAGATCTAAAATAAAGTGAAAATAAGCAAAGCTCCACCTAAAAAAGCTACGAAAATATCATCATCGTTGTCGTCGTCGCCGCCGCAACCATAAACATACAACCAACCAACAAACCGACAGACAGGCAGACATCACCATTGCTGTTATTTCTCTATGAACACACCACACTCTTTATTTAAAAGAAAAGAGTGTGTTTATCAAAAAACAAAAGGAAGGAAATTAGCAAAAAACAAAAAGCAAGCAAATTTTAATATAAGTTTTCTTTTGGATTGGGCATACATACTGCAATAGAAGCGCTTCAACATGGATTATTTTCTGGGTTAGTAGTACCTATATTATTAATACCAATAATAGTCATTTTGATAAACATGTCCTTTTTCATTACCTATATCGGGTATACACACAAACATATACAACGGGTTAAATTTAGTTTCATTTCTTTCCGTATTGCGATTATTGTGTAATATCGCTACAATCTCTTTACAATTGTCGCATTTCATTTGTTTTTTTATTCGTTTACATTGTTTTTCTTTTTCGTACTTGTCGGCTATTTTCTTATCTATCTCATGGTTGGTAGTTTCGTCCTTATTGTTATTTTGTTTCTTTTTTTAAGAGACTTAAGGTAGACCGATGTTAATTAAGTTTTGGGTGGTGAAGCGAATAGAGCATGAATTTCGGAATTGGTTTAATTTCATAAAAAACACTTGATAGGAGAAACAACTCAAGGTATTTCTATTTAGTTAGTATATATTTTAGTATATACCTATGTGTTGTTTACAGTAGTTTGATGACCGATATTACCATAATTGCAATAACATCTGGAAGTGTTAATGTTCAAAATTTGTAATTCTATCGCCAATATAATTCATAGGTATTATCTATTAGGTGTGCTATTTGTTACACTCTACACTGTAAGATTAATAATTTAGTGAGTTAAGTTATTCTTAAGGCACAGACTCGGATCGTTTTGTAATATTTAACTTATGTAGTTCTAGCAGCCCTGATTAAAACGACATACGTTTTTCTTGTGAAAATCCTTTTTACCATATGTGGTTCTAGGAGTCAGTATATACCTATGTGTTGTTTACAGTAGTTTGATGACCGATATTACCACAATTGCAATAACATCTGGAAGTGTTAATGTTCAAAATTTCTAATTCTTATGTGGTTCTAGGAGTCAGTATATACCTATGTGTTGTTTACAGTAGTTTGATGACCGATATTATGCAATACTGGAAGTGTTAATGTTCAAAATTTCGCCAATATAATTCATATATATTATCTATTAGGTGTGCTATTTGTTACACTCTACACTGTAAGATTAATAATTTAGTGAGTTAAGTTATTCTTAAGGCACAGACTCGGATCGTTTTGTAATATTTAACTTATGTAGTTCTACCAGCCTTACAACGACATACGTTTTTCTTGTGAAAATCCTTTTTACCATATGTGGTTCTAGGAGTCATCATTACAACGAAATACTTTTTTTATTGTGAAACCCCATATTTCCTGAGATATGGACCTCCAAAGTTCCGATGGGAATCATGTATTTCCCTTGTTATGAACTGTATATTGTAAAACTTTAATTTAAGGAGAGTCTGTGCCGTAGTACGCATCGGAAACTATTTGACTTCAAAAGGGAATTCTGTTGTGTAGCTAACAGTGGCCTGTGTTCACAGCGTGGGGAAATATGAGAGTCTTAGCGGAACCGTGGTTCGTGTTTTTAAGGAAGTATTGATTGTGGGGGAGGTACCAGAAGGGTGGATCAAAGCAGCTGGGTCAGACAACGTCTTCCTAGCTTTATTACAAAAAGGGCCGAACTATATATCACCATATTTAGGAACACTCTTTAACTCATGTATACGGTTTGCAGAGACATCGAAAGCCTGCAGGAAGCCAGCGCGCGTACGTAAAGGAAATAGTACGCCACATGGAAATCACCTTTGATAAGAAAGTTTACCTTATGGATATTAGGATATGGATATTAGGGGGCCTTAAATAATGTGAGCACTGATACACTTATTCAATCTCTAGAAATCGCGAGTAGACATGTGAAACTATGATATCAGTCAGGGACTCATGGGATAGCGGAACACTAGCAAACATGCCTCCTGGTAATTGCTGTTATACAGATGGGGAATTTTGGAAATTTTAATTTCACTTTGCCTACCAGATCAAAATAAAATCATACAGGCGGAGGTTCAAGCTATATCGGAGTGTCTGAACTGGTTTAGTGCAAACTTTGGTCAGGATATAATAAATATGACAGATAGTAAACAAGCCTCTAACCTCTAAAACAGTTAAACCCAAAACTTTATTAGAATGTCTAAAAAAAAAAATAATGCCTCGCCACATGACCTCGTACGAATCGTATGGGTACATATTTACATAGGAATAATAGAACTGAGGTCATGATCAAGGTACTGGAAAAAATTAAGAAAGGACAAAGCAAGTCCTGAAACACATCCTTCAGGCACACTTACACTAGATTGCATGTGACGGAAGCATCAGATGTAGAGCGTGTTGAAGAGACAGCGGAAATTTAGAACATTATTGGACTATATTACGAACTTCTTATTTACCCAAGGATACTCGAAAGACCACTATATATATATATATATATATATATATTCAATGTATTTAAATACGTTTTTTAATTGTTTCTAATTGTAATTTATTTTACAGGAGGTTATGTTTATATGAATGGCGATGCTGTCAAGATACAACAACCAGTTGCTACCACCGTTTACGCAAATGTTCCTGTTGATACGGCAATGTTAGCGACCAATATATATGGCCAACCCACACAATTGGCAGCTCCTGCCGCAACACATATACCATTAATTGCGACAACAGCGGGACCGCAACCACCACACCATCAAACTTTACAAGTTGCCCCAGCACCAGGCCAGCATCAGCCGTTAATAGCTGCTCATACAGCTGCAGCACACACACAACAGCAGGCACTGCAAAGTGTACAGGCTGCAGCTGCTGCCGTTGCTGCTGCAACACCACAGCCACCACCAGCACATCAAATACAAGGCCATCCACAACAACCTCATATACAGTATGCCCATCAGGCCCCAATGGCTGCTGCAGCCGGTCAGGGACCGACAGTTACTACAACAACGATTGATAACACCGAATATACCGTAATGAATGGAACTATAGCCCAAGATGGTACAGTCGTTTGTTATAGCCAAGACGATTTGCCGGTTGGAGTTAGTGTGGGAGTGGGTCCACCGGGCGCAACAAATTTAGTCGCTGTTGATCAAATGTCTGGTACACCTGTAGCAACAGCAGCGGCACAACAACACAATGCCCACGCTCAACATCATGTGATTCTAACAAATGTTCCGCCGCCGCCGACACCCCAACAGCAACAACAACAGCAGCAACAACAAACGTTAACGCAACAACAACATCAACAACAACAACACCATCATCACCAGCCACCACAGTCACATCAACATGTTGGCGGCAATAACAACAATAACAATATGGCATCTAATAACAGTAGCAATGCTTCCTCAAATACAAGCGGCACTACGTCTGGAGGCGCTGAAAATAATACAATGTCTTTGGAACAGTTGAAGCAGTCGTTAGCAACACAATTGGAATATTATTTTTCAAGGTACCTTTTTTAAAAAAAAAGTTCGGTCGTAGAATAGAGAATATTATTACACAAACATATGAAAATTCCATACTAATTTGAGTTAGTTTTTTGAAATGTGTCTGAATACTGTGCTGGTAATAATTTACATTAGATAATTTTAATTGCCTAAATTCGCCCTTTGTGCCTGTTCTTGTAATATTTGAAATTATCAAATATTTGTTGATTACTACCAACTTCTTTCTAATGATAGAAATGTTTTATTTATTTAAAAATATATATATACCACACCACAACCAAGTGTACAAATATATTCATATACCTATATTTTTTTGTGTCTCCTTACAGGGAGAATTTAGCTAATGATACATGGCTGCTATCACAAATGGATAGCGATCAATACGTACCAATATTTACCGTTGCCAACTTTAATTTGGTTAAAAAACTAACCAAAGATATTAAATTAATAACAGAAGTGCTTAGAGAATCACCAAATGTGCAAGTGGATGAAGAGGGTCTTAGGGTGAGACCAAACCACAAAAGGTGCATCATCATTTTACGTGAAATTCCCCAATCAACGCCCGTGGAAACAGTCAAGGTTGGTTCAAGATTTCATTTTTGCCTACATTCGACAGTACCCCATCATACACAATGTGATAACTAATTTGTTCATCATATATTCCACAGAATATTTTTAATAGTGAAAACTGTCCAAGAGTCCTATCATGTGAATTTGCTGGTAATAATTCTTGGTATATAACATTTGAGTCTGATGATGATGCACAAAAGGCTTTTAAATATTTGAGAGAAGACGTAAAGGAATTTCAGGTATACTTCTTTCAACATATGCATTACAGTTATTTTCTTAATACTAAATCAATTATGTATATGCAGGGTAAACCAATAATGGCGCGTATGAAGGCGAAACCATTCATACACAGACTACCAATTGGTCCAGTTTCGGCTTTGAAAAATGGCTTCCGTTTGACCTCGCCACCAGCTGCTGTTTATGATCCCAATACTGCAGCGGCGGCGGCAGCAGTTGCATATAATGCTGCTCCTCAACGTTTTGTTTATGCAGCAAATGGTGCTGCTATCACCCAGCCTCCTGTACCATATAATGGTCAATTGCATGTAATTGTAAGTATATTTTATATGCTACTTGATAGATTAATTTTCACGTGCTTGTGTTATTTTTTTAGCAATTTCCTCAACAACAATTCTTTCCTGGCATAGTTACACCGTGGCCTTCGGCGGCCGCAGCTGCTGTTGCTGCAGCTGCAACTTCTTCAGCCCACGGACAAAATTTTTATGAGATTGGTAATGTGTTTGCAGCCAATGGCATACCTCAGGTAGCATATAACGCTACGTCTCAACCACCGTCTGCCACTCCTGGTTTAACTGGAAGCACGAAACCGCAAAGCGGTGGTGGCAATAGTGGTGGCGGTGGGGGAAATGGGCGTTACAACAATAGTCATCGCAATAATTCTAGCAACAGTAGTGGTACATCAGGTGGAGGCGGCGGCCACCGAAAACAATCCCGAAATTCTAATATGCAATTGCAGCAAGGTCCCCAGCCGCAGTTAGCTGGCAGCAATATAATTGTTTCCAGTGTAGCCGTGGGCGGGTCTGGAGGATTGGTTAGCGTAATGCCAGCAATTGTCGATCCACATCAACAGCAGCAAATGTCGCAACAGCATCAAATGCAACAACAACAACAGCCACAACAATCGACTTCAAGTCAACAACAGTCTGGTTCACAGCAAAGCAGTAGCTCAAGACATTATTCCAGCATGAAATCCAATACTGGTGAGTATGCCGTTCAATACAACGCCCGGTATAACGTATGATATTTTGTCAGGCCCATTCATTATAGCGAAAAATTCATTATATCCCGAAGTTTTTTTAAGGTGCAACAAAAATTTTAATCCATTTTTCAATGGATTTCTAACAAAAAATGTATTAATTAACGTAATAACCGTACTAATAATGTTTTTCCATATTTTTTTATAAGGCTAGCCCATTATTATTTGCGCCATATGCCATAAGCGATATCCAGTATAAAAAGTCGTCTGTTTTGCTCATTCGTTATATCCCGAATCCGTTAAACTGTGTATACTAAATTCAATAATTCTTATTAATTTTTAGGTGGCATGCCCAAGTCATCGGTAGAAAAATCCTATTCTGGTGGCAATGCTGGTACTATTAGTAGCCATCATCATTATAATACCCAGAATCAATCAAATCATCACGTACAAACACAGCAACAAGCACAGCAAATGACGACTGGTGCTGCAACCCATATACAACAGAGTCACTATCAAATGCCTTCCTCTAATACACAAAGCGGTTCAATGCAACACGCAAACTATGGCAGCCATGCTGCACCCACTGTGTCAACACAACAGCAACACCACCACACGCAGCAGCAACAACAAATGCACCAACAACATGAACTGCAGGAAGATGTTGGAGAAGTTATACACCAGACCCAGGTGCACAATGTCCAACAGCAGAGTGGTGGCGGAGGTGGTGGGGGTGGCCATCACCATAGTCAACGTAATAACATGACATCTTCTTCAACATCGCTGGCCAATTCAGTGGGAGGAAAAGATCCTCCACACTGGTCTCAATCGAGACCCAGACGGAGAAGGCGTGACGATGACAATTCGGGGATGACTTATTCGCCCAATAATCGTATTGGTGGAGGAGGCGGTGGGGTTAGTATTGCAACTTTTTATACTACCGTATCTACTAACAATGGTTGTTATTTGAATCCGACTAGTGGCAGTAGCAATATTCTAGTAGACATAGGTGGGGGTTTTAGTATGATAGGAGCAGGAGGAAGCGGCTATGAAGCCGTGGATTTGGGCAATAAAAGTAACATTAGCAACAGCAGCAGCGGCGGCGGCGGCGGCGGCGGCTTTGGTAGTTTTTTAAACCAAGTAAAGGTGATGGGTGTAGATGGGGGAGGAGGCGGGGGCGGCGGCGGAGTCAACGGTACTGGACAATTATATTCAGTTACTGGCGGCAACCCCACCACCCATACCACCACCACCACCGCCAATACCGATAACATCACAACAGCCAATGTCACCACCAACAACAACAACAAATGCGCATTTACCGCCACATATACCTCTTCCAAATACAAATCTAAAAATAACACCTCTAAAATAACTAACTCTTCAAAGAATTACCTAAAATTTACCACATCTACAGCAACATGTAATATTTCTAACAATCAAATAAACTGCAACAACATTAATTCTTCCAATTCCAATTCTGCTACTACTTCTACTACCACAACTACTAATCAAATTAATAGTCAAATGAATCAACAACATCTAATACAATCTTCTAATTCTCAACAGCAATCTTACAACTCGGGACACCATTCTCAGCAAAGTGGTAACAGCGGAGGTGGAAGCGGCGGAGGATCAGGTGGTGGCATGTCTTCGGGCCAGGGAGGAAGCGGCGGCAGTCATCACCATTCTAATCGGAATGATATAAGTGGTGGTGGGCATCACGGCAGTGGCGGCGGTGGTGGTGGTGGCTATTCATCGCATCGCAATGATAATGAGCATCGTGGTGGGTACAAAGGCAACAACTATAATCCTCACTATAATAGTGGAAATGGCAGCCATCATCATTCCTCAGGCAATTCATCATCCCATCATCATAGCCAACATCACAGCAATACAACAGGTGGATCGTCTCAACAACAGCAACAACAACAGCAGCAACAACAAACACAACAACAGCAACATCATTCTTCTTCCGCTTCATCATCATCGACCCATCATCAAATGTCTTCATCCAATTCTCACCATTACAATCCGCATCATCACAGCAATGAAGGTGGTGGTGGCGGTGGGAGCGGGGGAGGAGGTGGTGGTGTAAGTAGTGGACGTGATGTTGGTGGTGGAAGAAGTTATGAAGGTGGCCGTCATGCCGGCGGTGGTGGTTCCTCCAATTATGGTGGTAATAATGAACGATCTGGTGGAGGTCATGGTGGCGGTGGTCGTCATCACGATAACTACCATCATAATAGCCACCATCAAGGGGGCCATCATCAACATCACCATCATCATCAACAACAGCAGCAGCAACAAAATGTTGCTCCACCACAACCACCGCAATTCGATTTAGAAGCAGCTGCATTTCCACCACTGCCAGGTAGGTTTTTACTTTTATCAAAAGTTGTATAAAATATATTTTCTATTTTTGCATTTACTAAATAAATTTTTGTATTACATTGCGTTACATCAGGCGACTTAATAACCTCGGCATTTTAAGGTTGTTTAATAGGGACATTTTTTAGAAGATATGTGTTTTGAATGAATCGTACCATTGGTCAGTGTGTTTTTTTATTATTCATAACAATTGCCAAGTCCAAAGACCACATTTAGAATATTAACAATCCACAATTTCATAAAAAAATATATTTCACTAAATATCAATTTCAAACAATACAAAAACCCAGACAATAGTATGACTCTGGATTAAACTTCTTCCAGAAGTAGCTCTTAAGCTGAGTGAAAACACAGCGTATACTAAAATGCAATGGTTGTAATTAAAAAAATAGGAGAAAGTATAGGGGAAAAAATTAAATTTTAAATTAAATATAACGATAATTTTGAAATATATAAAAAAGTTTCATTTATATAGAATAAAATCTACCTAAATGACAGGGCAGAAACACAATTACGATCCAATATCAACGAAATATTAGAGAAAACTAATTCCAAAATATGCATATAGACTGAAATCTTCTTAAAGAATGGTGGCAATGTGTTAAACATTTTATCTCGAACATAAAAAATAAGTTGAGATATTGAAAAAGTCAAAATTGAGTTCTTCATACTAGTTTGTTTACAAATGCTCAACTCATTTTATTGATTTATCATTATAGATACAAAGCTCATTCAGTAGCTAGTAGATAATTAAAAAAATAATAATATATGAGAAATTTTAAATTATGTTCAATAATAACTTGTGCTTAGTTAGATACTTGTTTAATTCACTTTTTTAACAATTCTAAATATTTTATAAATTCCTTTATAGCCACCTCTTCGTCCGTGGCCTCCAGTAACGTTGCTTCAAGCGGTGGCTCAAATAGCAACAAACAAACTGCCAACACGCAGCAGCAGCACCATCAGCAACAAGTGAGTTTAAATGATGCTACAACATCTGCCAATAACAACAACATGACTATCAATAGCACTAGTAGCAACAGCGCTAACATTCAAGATCAGCAAACACAACATCATCAACAACAGCCGCAGCAGCAACCTCAGCAACAGCAGCAGCCAAAAAACGTCAATACTCAACCCTATCACCAACAACATCAGCAATCGCAGCAACAAAATATAAACAACAGTAATTCTCAGTTGCAGCAACAACATAGTTCCTCAACCGGTTCGGGAAACGGTACTAATGGTGGTAGTGGTTGGTCTGAAAATCGTTTAGCTGATGTAGTCCGTGGCAGTGGTACTGGCAGCAACAACAATACGAACAGCGGTCAAACTGGTGCTGGCGGAGGTTTGAATGGAAAAAAATCTCGCAAAGATTCTGGCCACAACAAACAATCATATTACTATCAACAATCACAACAACATCGTGGCAATGCGTCAGCGGTTAGTCCCACGCCCACCAACAACAACAATGCTCCGCAAATGACTGCCACAAACAACAGTAATAGCAATGCCTCAATTTTTTTAAATTCGCCCACCATAGAGAATTCTATTTCCGACGAAATAAAACGTGAACCATCTACCAATAACAGCAGCAGCAACAATAACAACACAAACAAGTCCTTGACAAATAAACAAAATTCTAATAATGCTAATAACTCTCCAACTGTGATAAAGTGTGTAACACAACAAAACCATACAACAACAAATATGAAGGCAAGCAACAATGTTGCCGCCACATTTGTTGCTCCCTCCTCCTCCTCGACAACATTGCCTGCGGACCAGAGTCATACAGGTGGTGTAGGCGGCAGTAGTAGCGGTACCATTGGTGGCAGTGGCGCAACTACTATTCCCAATGAAAAAACTAACAAGACTGATGAATATTTGCTATACACCATGGATAATGCAATTGTTACAGCGGCAAATGGAAACAGCAACAACAATAATAGTGTTAACAGCAACAAAACGACATCGTTTGGCTCAAGCAACGAAGAACGTAATTCGAAACATGTTGGCGGCTCAACAGTTTCAGCTGCGAACGTGTGTAGTGTTGCCACAATGACCACAAACCTTGCCGAATGTAACATAAACAATCACAAAAAACCACCCGCCATAGCAGCACTAATTGCCAAAAAAGAATCGCCAAAAGACGCTACCAGGCAAAAAAATGCCTCCACTTCCACTAGTTCGACGTCTACTGAAAACCTGTCCGTAGTAACGCCAACAAATGTTACAACTACTGTAGCCACTGGAGGATCATCGGCTTCTCGTTTGAGTTACGCTCAAGTGGCGCAACGCAAAGATGATAATAATACTAGTGCTACAACTGGCACTGGCACCTCTGGGATATTATTGTCATCGCCAGTTGCGGTGAATAAACACGAGTTGGGAGCCGCAGGCACAGTCTCAACTACAACGGCACCTTCCTCCTCCACAAGTACATCTGTTAATCTTGTAAATAATCCCAATGAAAAGACTATTTCCGCGCCTACTGTCGCCAATTGTAGTGGTGGTGTTTCATCGACTGTAAATAATGTTGCTGGTACTGTTGGTGTAGTGAATTCCTCGGGTGCTTGTGTCGCATCTATAACTCAAGCAACGGGTGCTGTGAATAGTGGCAGCAATTCAACATCCGTACAATTGCGCACTGAAAATTCCAAAGAAAAAGGTAATTAAAAAAAAACATATTTCGTTTCTGTATATGCGGAGTTTTGCTCACCCTTTTGAACTTTATTGACATGTGTTTTTCTTGTACCGATTTCAGATATTATTCGTGAAAATCGTCAAAATACAGGAATTAATGCTAGTATTGGTGGCGGTAGTTTGAATAGTAGTAGTATAAATAGTAACACGGTTGCATCTTCCCGCAATCAACGTGCTGATTCCAAAGACTTTAATAAAAACACGCACTCTCGCGAGCGAAACGATACCGTTGAATGCAATTCAGCTAATGGTAGTGGACGTAAAGGGAACAGGAATAGCAATAACAATTAAAAAAGTAATGAAATGCGTCCTATTGTTATTGTACCCACCCAATTGTTTTTTAATAATCCTGAATTTTATTTTGGCAATGTGAAATGTGAGCATAGTGCTGTTTGCTTGTATTAGATTACTATGAAATTTGATTGGATAGGAAATCCTTTATTCAAAACTTTTTTAACTTTAATCTCATTAAAAGGTCAAGCAAAGCAACAAAAATATTACGACTTCATTTACGCCAAATTTCTGTTAAGTTTTTTTTGAGATATTTTCTTTTATCACTATACTCTAGGATATGCTACAATACATACATATATATGACAAAAGACTACAAGGCACATTTCAAATATTTCTAAAACAAAACAAAAAATAAAATATATATACTATAATTAATACTACTAGTACTATCAAAACTAATAACTACTACCAATACTACATGAATTTTTGCCTGCTATTGAATACAACCGTATGTGCTACTACCTATACTACTCCATTGAAATAGCAAAAATATCGTCTATTTAAATACATAACATACAAATATAATTATATATATCATGATGATACAAGAAATATTATATTGTATGTTCGTATGAAGAAACATCAAGTAACTATAGTATACACATGCTTACAAATGTATTGGAAAATGATTGTTTTCTTCTTGTATGTATATTTACATATATATTACTTTACTACACACACAGAAAAATGGATGTTGATCAGAAACAAAAAATACCTAAAAGGTAAGTAAATATACATTGATACTATTGGAATATTGATTAATTGAATACGAAAGAAATTTCTTGTTATATAAAAAAATTTCGTTATATTTTATATCGGGTTCGCATTTTGCACCAAACCCATATTGATAACAAGCCTTATTCTGGATATTCACCAGGAGATATCTCGCTAGTGATTTTTTTTTTTGCTTTCACATTCTCGCCTTATTTTGAATGAGTAGGGGGAAGCAAAAAATGCAAAATGCGGATTCGAATTTTCGAAAATGGTGGTTAAAAAAGTATTCAGCCTTATTCTGGATGTCAATTCCACGTGAATTTACTCGCTTCTTTTCCTTTGGAGGCGAAATACAGACATTTTGGGTGAGGATCTGACTGCCAAGAAAAAAATTTTGAAAATTATGAAAAACCAAATTTGCCTGATGAGCCGTTGAACAATGAAAAACAATCACACTTATTCCGTATGTCGTCGTCGTCACAAACTATTGAAACATTTTTGGTATTCCGTAACAATGTGTGACGACGACGATGTCGAAGATTTCTTCGTCATAATTTTTGTTGACGAATGAAGTGTTTGAACATTTTTTTTTAAGAAATTAAAGAAAAAACATGACCGGACAAGAACAGGATACATCATTCTAGAATCTATTCAATACGTAATGCAAAATAAAGTGTAAATAAAGAAAAATATATGGGATCTATATATAAATCTGAACCGATTTTGACCAATATCAATTGGGCACGTATTTGAGCCAAATAAAGTTTCGTCCATTTCGAATGGAGTGTACCAAATTGTATCCCATTCGGATTATAAAGGCGACCTGTAACTTGATTAAAATAATACATGAACGAAGCAGGGTGCATATATCGACTCAAAAAGTAATTATATGTGCATATATACTAAAAAGGGAACAATATGAGTTTAGAGGCTCATCTCGGATGGCATTTTTATTTTCATGGGAGAAGCCAAAAATCCCGAAATATAGACCCTTGCAGTTCCGAAATTCCTTTGTTCATAAGTTCGTCATTTATAGACCGACGAAGGTAATATTGGTATGGTTGCAAAGCGTACACATATTTTCACATAAATTCGTTTTAATTACAAATTATTCAAAGTAGCCGGCCTTCGTCCAGCGATTTAACCCTTTCAGTGTCAAAAAATGTTGGAAAAAAATCTAAAATTTTTTATTTAAGATCATATAAAGGCACAGAGTTTAGAAAAAAATAGCAATGCTCATTTTAACCCTCTGCCAGGTTCGTCTGTCTTTCAGCAAAAATAAAAAAAAATCAATAGTAACGGTAAATAGGATAACCGAAAAATCGCAAAGAAAGAGGGTACTTTTAAATGTCGAATATATTCAACAAAAACACTGAAAGGGTTATGACATTCTCCTATGGACAGGCGGAAATCAATTTTTCAGCTAATTTTTTTCAATAACCATTCATGGGCGGCTATCTATGACAAATAGAAAATTCGGTTACGCGATCGAACATTTTAAACATTCAATTCTTAATAGCCGTCAATATTATCATCATCGGTCCATAAATGACGCTGTTATGAGTGAGTATATGAATTACGCAACTTCAGAGGTCCATATCTCGGGAAGTACGGACTTCTCCCATGAATGTCATATATTTTCGTCATCAGGGAGACGAGATCAGAAAAATTGGAGATAGTCCCCTAAACTCAACTTTAGCCAAAATATCAAACAAAATGAACAGCTGACTACCATATAAGAGATGTGTTTTTTGTTTTGTTGATATTATCGATAAATAGTCGACATCGTCGCATGAGTGTTACGGAATACCAAATTAATGTCGAAGTGATGTCGATGTCGATGCGAAGTGATGTCGACAAAGAAACGACGACGACATACGGAATAGGGGTGAATCACCCCTATGCAATTTGTTGCAACAACTACAACATATTACAAATAAAAGAACATGTTTTTATGATGGCAAAAGCCGCGTTGGACGATTTCAAAGACACAACGAATAATACGAAGAAATTTGCTATTGAATTAAATTAATTCGCAGTTTATTACTTCACTACATAATTGCGTTTCTTTTTATTTAATTTCGATATTTTATCTCCCCAAATTCTTAAAGTGGCCAATTATTTTATGATATGATCCTCCTCCTTTATTTCGTCTTCAAATCATGCTCGTGATAAATTTAATAGAAAAAAATATTTTTGTAGCTTTATTATTGTTCATTCAACATTTTTATTTGAGTTTTTCACTGTCAGGCAAATTTGGCTATGCGGGGTTTCCATAATTTTTAATATTTTTTCTAGAGAGAATGATCCTCACACAAAATTTTTCGCCTCCAAATAGCATCAAACGCAGTTTAAGTATTCCTTATTGCCTTTATACATTCCGTGGCATTATTTTGTTGAACGTGAATCGTTATCGTGGAAATCCTATTTCCAATGGCATTTTTTATTTGTTGTTTTTGAGTTAAAAATATGCGTACAACCATTTATAATATTCAAATAAAATAACATTTGTAAAGAGTTTTCCATGAAAATTTATTAGCGAAAATTTTCGCACAACATATCATCACTTTCTCCTATTCCCTGTAATCCGGAATAACTAATTTTTTTCCAAAGCGCATTTTTTTGCTTTCGAATTTGATTCAGAATAAGGGGAAAGTGAAAATGTGAAAATATTCGCTGCGAGTTCTGCTTCAGAATAACATTAAAGGGAAGTGCGAACAAATTCACGGTGAATTGATGTCCAGAATAAGGCTGGTTGTTAATTTGGTGGATTAGCTAGAATATAATTCATCAATTTTTTGAATTAATAACAATTAATAATTATTTTCTCTCATCTGTTTCAGGTATTAAAGTCTGTTGTACATCAAAAACAAATATTATTTTTATAATAAAAAAACATTAATATATAAAGCGTGTATTTTTAACAAGGACCAGTCAAGTAAAAACTGTTTTTTCTTATTATTATAAATATTATTAATTAATATAGCTATAATTTTTATTATATAATGTATTGTATAAACAAAAATAACAAATGTAACTAAAACAACAAGAACAATTTGTATAAAAATGCAGAAGTAAATTGAATTTACAATAACATTAACGAAAACACTACTACTAATAATAAAAAAAACAAAGTACGCGAATATAGCAACAACATATATATTGTAGAGTAATATATAAACTAGCTTCTATATATATGTTGTAGTTATATACACATAAACATATTACAAACAAACAAAAATAACACAGTGTTATACAAATAATTAGATTTATTTCACGAGGATGAGGACGATCAAGATTAAAGCTAATAAAACAAATCTATTTTGTCGTGTATAGGTAGTTAGATAGTTTTGGATTTAAAAATGAAATTCTCTTCATTTAAATTAATCTTAAGTTTAATACAAAAAACATATTTTTGTTTAATTAATCGTGAATTCCTATAAATATTTGTTATATAGCAAAGAAAACAATCAGAAATTGTAATAGTGGTGTATAATTGATTTGTATATACATACAAATAATTCAAAAAGTTTTATTGTTTTTCTTTGTCAAATATTAATATTTGCTTAGTGTCCATCAACATTTTTCACCATTACTACATATATCCTTTTAAACAATATCAGTAATTAATCCCAATGTTTTTGATAGGAAAAAAAATACAGATCCAAATATTGTCATTGTTGTGAGGATAAATACAAGTAGTAAAGGCAATTAAAATATTTCGTATCTAAATTGAAAAAAAAACAAATCAGGTAAAAATTCAATCAGTTGTGTAAACACTTTTTTATATGAAATTTGCAACTTTTTGATATGAATACTCAAATTTTTGGAATTTAATTATAAGAAAATATTTAAATTATATATTTGGCCAAAGATAAATGTACTTGCGAGTGATAACTATTCCAAAAGCCATATAATATTTGGAATTCGAACTATATGAATCTAGTTACCACATAATGATAATATATATGGACCTGTAATATTTGATCGGAAACAGCTATAATGCAGATGTGTAATGTAAATCTAAGACAAGACCATTTTTGGCATGTAATTCTAATTTGAATTATGAATTAATCAATTGATTGAGAACATCACGTGAAATTTGAATTGTTAGACATATGTTTATATATCGATGTTTGTTTCTTTCGTTTTGGAATTATATTAATTTGGAAATTGAAATGATTAGAAAAAATGGTCGATATTACAACAAATTTAATTAAAATTAAAAATGTACGGATTTCAAATATTAATATACAAATTTCAAATGAAATACACATATTTTG